TGTCTCCCGGCGTTTGGATAGGCGAGACCTCCTTCTCCTCCAGTTTCTCCTTATAATACGGCTGAGTAGAATTAGGAACACCTGGGCAGAGGCGGAGCCAGGGGCAGACCAGGTGCAGCAGGGAGACAGAAAAGACAACAAGGAGGGGAGCACGTAACATCTATGCTGCCCCAGAACGCCTCGTTGGAGATTTTTCTTTTTCCATTTTTTCCTTCCGGGGCATACTGACGTAACGAAGTCCAAATGGACCAATCCGCGGAGCCACACACACACACACACACACACACACACCCTTATCTTTTCTCTGCCGCGGTGCTGCGCGGAGCTCTGGACTCATCAAAACAGAGTGGGCGAGCTGACCAATCAGAGCACAGTGGGCTCATAGGGAGGGGGGGGGGGCAGGAGCTCCAACAAGGCGTGTAGGAAAGAGAGTGAATACACATACTATACAGAGATGCTGTATGAGAAACCAATGTGAGTTTGGAACATTGAACAATGTAAATCTATTCTAGTAGACCTCAACAATGGAATTACGATCAGTAGAAATGGCCATGTCATGGGACCTTTAAGATTGTCTGCTCCTTGAGCTCTGTGATCATTTATGTGGGCTCTAATCTGAGGTGCTTTAATTTGCGGTTTCTGAGGCCGGTAACTCTGATGTATTTATCCTCTGCAGCAGAGGTAACTCTTGCTCTTCCTTTCCCGGGGGGGGTCCTCATGAGAGCCAGTCTCATCATAGCATTCAATGGTTTTTGCGACTGCACTTGAGGATACATTCAAAGTTCTTGACATTTCCCGGATCGACTGACCTTCATTTCTTAAAGTGATGATGGACGGTCGGTCGTTTCTCTTTACTGGGTTGAGTCGCTCTTGCTATAATATGGATTACAACAGAAGTCAAATAGGGCTTTCCACTGTGCACTAACTCTACCTCTGCATAACACAACTGATGGTCTCAAACACATTAAGAAGGCAAGTCATTCCACACATTGACTCTTGAAAAGGCACAAGTGTTAATTGAAAACCATTCCAGGTGTCTACCTCATGAAGCTGACTGAGAGAAGCCAAGAGTGTGCAAAGCTGTCATCAAGGCAAAAGGGGGCTACTTTGAAGAATCTAAAATAAAAATCATATTGTTGATTTCACTAGATAATTCCATATGTGTTCTTTCATAGTTTTGATGTCTTCAGTATTAATCTACAAAGTAGAAACAAATTAAAATAAACAAAAACCATTGAATGAGAAGGTGTCCAAACTTTTGACTGGTACTGTATATAAAAAACACACAGTTTAATATTTAGCAGGTTCGCTCATCTATAATCATTTATACGAGCACAACTTTGAACATGTACAGCAGTAAAATGCAACATACGAAATAATCAAGAAACATCATAAATTGAACACTGACGGGGAACATTTTACTGCACCATCATTACTTTTACATAAGAAGGTGCCGTAAAATGTTCTGTTAATACTTGCATACTTTTACTTAAGGTTTGAATGCAGGATTTTAATTTGTAACAGAGTATTTTAATTCTATACTGTAGTCTATCTGTGAACGATCCCAAATACAATTCATTGTTTACATTGCGACTAGTGCTACGCCAGAAGAAAAAAAAAACTTTTCATTTTTAACTGGAAGTGGAAAGGGGCTGGGCTACATAAGGTGAATTGAGCCAACAAAAATACACAATAGGCGGGACTAAGAAAGGTAATGTGAAAATATAAATACAACGGCATTAATTAGGGCTGCAAAATGTCTCCTATTTTAATGGTGATTAGATTTTAAGTGCTAACACTTAAAGGTCCCATGTCATGCTTTTCCGGTTATTACCCGTCCCCTTGTGTGTTATGAAGGTTTTTATGCATGTAAACGGTCTGCAGAGTCAAAAACCCTCAAAATACACCCTGTAGCGAGTAAAACTCTAACACAGAAAATACCTCCCCAAAACGACTCGTTGGAGATTTCTCATTTTCCATTGTTTACTTCCTGGGTATTGCTACGTAGGGATACACAGTAGCCACGCCCAGAGCTATGGCCGCACCCTCTGCCAGCCTTTCACGCAACAAAGCTTCCCAAAACCTTTCAGCGATTCATGCCGGATATGTACAGCTTAGGGCACTGAAGAACGATGCTGTTCCTACTTTGTTTGGACCAGCGGGAGATTCGGGTACACAACCTGTAAGTATTCATTGTTGTTTGTGTATTTATGATGTTTAAAACAAACAAGGTATCTAGTCTACCATGACTGTTTAAATGGGTAAACGTTTTTCTACGTTGAAATGCTCTCCGCAGACCCATGCTCACAGCGTTACAAACCTTTTTCTTACTCAATATCAAGCCACACTTATTGTTTTTACTTCGGCTGTGAGTGTTTGTGTGTGTTCAGGATGAGTTTGGCTTGTTCTAGCTGTATCGCCAAGCCTGTCTGCTCCTCCAGCAATGTGTGTGTCTGTGTGTGTGCGAGCAGTGCTAACTAAGTTGCTTGCGTTTCCATATATCAACTCCAATGTTAGCAGATGGCCGTACATGTATCTCATAGCTGGAGAATGTCTGCAATCACACACAAAATACTCATAGACTGTATACTCCGGGTGATTTACCGTACGGTCAGTACATTATAGTTGGCGTTCCTGGCATGTATGCTACCGAGCTACCGTTCATAGCCTGTATGCTACATAGCTAAACAAGAAGGCTAGCTAAAGCTAGACATGCCACGGAAAACATTGTTTTCATGCCAGCTACAATGAATGACCGAATGTAGCAGACCCGTATAAGATTGCAATTGTAAACATGTTCTTGCTAGCCTAGACTAGCTGTTGTTCATAGTAGGTTGGCATATTACACTGAACAACTAGCAAACGTAGGTTAGCATATTAGCTGGCAAGCTAACTGTTGATTAGATAGATAGATTAGATAGATACACACTCCTACCACAACTACTACTAACGAATCTAAAACAACTAATTTTCTCTAATATTTTGTGATTTGCATTTGATTTCGTCCAGCCAGATCAGGAAACTCCTGGCGTATCTGGTGGACAACACACACACGGGATGACCACTCTGATGCCTCGTCCTAAAAAGCACCAGCACCAGCTTAAAGCTGCGATAGGCAAGATCCTGAAAAAGCCTATAAGGGGAGGAATGGATGATATACGGTGTATATATGTATATTTACACATGTTCATTTTGTACATTTCTAAAAATAAAGTTTGATGGAAATACTTAGTATCCTTTCTTCCCTGAATTATTTGCTCCTATAACATATCATTCATATATAGCAAACCATGATTTGATTTCTCATCAAACAGTAGTAGTTTATTACAGGTAAAATAACTTACTCTTCCATAACAACAGTTGTAGGTACAGTTCGGTTAGTTAGCGTATAAAATATACGGCTGTACCGACGCCATTATAAGACTGATGTTCCGCTCAGAGCGAGCCGAAAAAAGCACTGTTAGACATGGGTGGAGCCTCTCTGGTGGTTGACTAATCAGAACAGAGTGGCCGAGCTGACCAATCGGAGCACATTGGGCTCACAGGGAGGGGGGGGGGGGGGGGGGGGGGGGGGGCAAGAGCTCCAACGAGCCGTTTAGGACAGAGAGTGAATACCGTTGAATACACATACTTTACAGAGATGCTGTATGCGAAACCAATGTGAGTTTGGAAAATTGCACAGTATAAATCTATTTTAGTATACCTCAACAATGGAATTATGATCAGTGGAAATGGCCATGACATGGGACGTTTAACAGTTTGTTCTGACTGTGTGTTTCCTGTTTCCTGCAGATGTCCAGCTGCTGGTGGTGGTTAAAGAAGAGCTTCTCCCTGACCAGCAGGAGTGGAGCACCAGTCTGGACCAGGAGGACCCAGAGCCCCCCCCACACATTAAGCAGGAACAGGAGGAACTCAGGATCAGTCAGGAGGGAGAGCAGCTTCAGGAGCTGGAAGAGGCTGATGTCACCAAGTCCACTTTCACTCCTGACCCTGTGAAGAGTGAAGATGATGAAGAGAAACCTCAGTCCTCACAGCCTCATCAAAGACAAACTGAACACATGGAAACAGAAGCTGATGGGGATGACTGTCGAGGACCAGAACCAGCCAGGAACTCAGATCCAGAGAGCAGTTTACAACCAAAGACTGAGGACGACACTGAAGACTCTTCTGAACCTGACACTGGAGACTCTTCTGAACCTGACACTGAAGACAGTGCTGATTGGAAAGAGACCAGAGAACCTGCATCAGGCTCAAACTCACTAAAACATAGACATGAATCTGATCCACGACGTAGTGCTGAAAATAAACCATTCAGCTGCTCAGTCTGTAAGAAAGCTTTTTCACAGAGTGGACATTTAAAGACACACATGAGAGTCCACACAGGAGAGAAACCATTCACCTGTCCAGTCTGTAAGAAAGATTTTGCAGATAGTGGAAGTGTAAAAAAACACATGAGATATCACACAGGAGAGAAACCACACAGCTGCTCAGTCTGTAAGAAAGCTTTTTCACAGAGTGGAATTTTAAAGGAACACATGAAAATCCACACAGGAGAGAAACCACACAGCTGCTCAGTCTGTAAGAAAGCTTTTGCACAGAGGGGACATTATAAGGGACACATGAGAATCCACACAGGAGAGAAACCATTTAGCTGCTCAGTTTGTACCAAATCTTTTGTGCAGAGTGGAAATTTAAAGGCACACATGAGAGTCCACACAGGAGAGAAACCATTCAGCTGCTCAGTCTGTAAAAAACCTTTTTCACGGAGTGATAATTTAAAGGTACACATGAGAGTCCACACAGGAGAGGAAAAATAGAGCTGCAATGTTTGTGACAAAAGATTTAAATGGCATAATCGTTTCAAAAGACACAAGTGTGTTGGTCGTCTGCTTCTGTAACTGTAAGGGAATACATTTGTCTATTTTGTATCCTGATGACGTAATGCCGTTACATGTAATACGGTACTCCCTAAGCCTAATTTCACCCACCTGCAACCAATTCGCGAATAATCACAAATGTTCATTTCTTTGACCCCTTGACTCGACTATTTCTTGTTTAATAATCGTTACATCTCCTCAGGACCAAGTTCCCGTGTCCTGCCTTTCACCTGCTGATCACCCACTGCTCATTTAAGGAGGACTCACCTTTACAAGGGACCAGCTAGTCTTAGTGTCTTAATGCAAACGTTTTGTAAAGTGATGCTGCACCAAAAACGTGCTGTTGGGTTGTGTGCTCTCTGCAGGACGGTGTCTGTACTCAAAGATTGTTTATGAAATGAGAGCTTCATTCTGTTTATATTGTCTAAACAACGCCAACAGAGCGATACGTCTTCTTTCCAGCAGATGGCATAAATGTTACATCATCCAGTTCAACTGTCATCCACATATTAATGATTCAAAACAGCAATGTGTAAGATATGGCTAGTAATTGACTATTTCAACAGAATGTGAAGAGGTTACAGTCTTGAGGCCGTGTCCAATATGTTTATGTTTTGTTTGATTAAATCTACTGAAATGAGCATTCAATGACTACATTATTCTTAATTACTGTCATTACATCATGGGTTTGCATTGCAATATTAGAACGCATAAAACCCAACTTTATTTCTTCCAAGTTGCGGGTGTTCACTGTTTAGAAGTCCGCTGTGTTTCATCCAAGCTTCCACTTCGTGCTCCGATAATGCTGAAAGTATCTGTTGTATGCTTTACCTGCTCCAGTAACAAAAGTGTAATTCACTGGACAGAGACAAGAGATAGTGGATGGATCCAGAAAAGAACCAGAAGATAGTCCGTATAGAGCCTTCAGGTTCTGAAAATTATCAGGGATAGAGCTAGGAAGAAACTCTAAAACCTGGATAGAGCTAGAAGATTTCCAGTACAAAGCCAAGAAAGACCCAGTAGAAAGACAGGAAGGAGCCAAAAGAGTTTGTGTCTTTTAATATTCAAGCTCTTCTCTTAAGATATTAGAACTTCCTATCTCAACATGTATCCTTTTATTCCAATTAAAAATAAACTCAAATTTTTACTGCCAATTATTGAGATTGTTTCACAGCTTTATCTTAAATATTTAGACTTGTTTCTTTACATATAGATTACATAGGATGAACAGCACGATCCACTCTACTAGATTCTCCCCAAATCTGCTCAAAATGCATGCAAACATCTCGCTTTATCCATACTCCTGCAGTTGTATTGTTCTGGATTCATAGTGAAGTGTATTAGATGTTCTGCACTCTTATTGTTATGTATTTAATATAAAGTGAAATACCCATAAAGTCAGAAAAGAAAAGAGACTCACTTAAGGAAAAAGGTTCTGAACCAGTGAGAGTTCTTCATTTGCACATAAACATGGTCAAATATTTAAAGTTGTGACCAGATGGTGTCGCCCTAATCCGTGTATCTACGGTCCATTTGTTTTTCTTTATTACACGGTGGAACGGTGATAATATAAACAAGGGGAAACAAGGTGAGTTTAGTGATCACAACGAAAACGGCCAAGACACATATTGAGCCCAGAAAATGAATGTTATTAAGGACTGTAAATATAATAGGCCTATGTCTAAAATGGACAACATTGTTAGGAGATTTAAACTATACAGCGATTCTGCACTGCGGTCAACTCAGCCGTCTCTCGAGTTTGTTTTTTCAAATCAGCTGCTCTTCATTTTTTCCCCTGCTATATTCAATGAGTGATACAAATATTTTTTACCACAAGTTCTTAATACAACTGACACTGATGGACTCGGTACTAGTTTGACTGCTACCAGAAATGAAATGAAGTACTTTTACTATGTACTTTGTGAGTAATCCTCTGTCAGAGTCCCCTCCATAGTACATAATAGCCGCGTTCACACCGGAGTACTTTTCACCGTACTTTTCGCGTTTAGTTCCGTTAGTACCCCTTATGTTGCGTTCACACCAAAAAGAGTACTTAATCTCGGGAACTTTTACCCCCATTTTTAGTGCCTGCTGAGAGATCGTACTTTCCTTGGGGAAAAAAGTGCCCCAGTTCTGATTGGCTGGGCGAATTGCTGTGCCACAGCATTCCACTATAATACTTCAATTCTTTATTCTTCCCCTTATTTCACCAATACTTTGGCTCTCCATAACTTCAGCTTACTTTCAGCTACAGAAACCATTCAAATATCAAACTATTCAGCATGTTCAGAATCGATGGGAAACCTTCAACATTTTAAAAATATTTTATACTTTTTGAAATATTCAGCTTTTTAAACTCTTTTTTTAACATGGAAGTCAATGGGAGATGCCTTCAAATCTTCTTTTCCTACACTTTGCGCCAAATGCTACTCCTTCCACATACTTTCAGCTAGACACTTCATTCCAACTTTCAAATGATCACAACACCTTCAGCTATTCAAACTTGACTTTTATTTTTGATATCTTTTACGGTTTTTGACTTATCAACGTTTAAGTTTTGGTAAATGTACAGGCTGTTTTAGATTTTAGAGTGCGTGACATCATCACTTAGAGTGTAGAGGGTCTTAAAAATCTTCGGAAAAAATATTTTAAAACTGCTCTCAGAGCCAAAATATACAATCTATTCAAATAATTTCAAAAGATTTCAGGAGCATTATTAGTCTGGCCTGCTCAATTGCCTTCATCATATCAAACGGACACACCGTTCTGGCCCAATAGTGATCAGAGTGACAAAAAGTCCACCTAGCTCCCAATAGACTCCCATGTTAAATTTGACCGGAACTTTCTTCAGAACAGAGAGAAGTCAACTTTAGACAAACTGCTCCCGTCTTCACATTTGACACACAAAACCCAAAAAAACAACATATATCAGTTAATTGGGGTTCCCTGATGCTCACGGTCTGGTCATTAGTGCGAATGCTGTTTACAGCATTCCACTATAGTTCTTCGAATCTTTATTCTTCCCCTTATTATTTCAGCCAATACTTTGGCACTCCATAACTTCAGCTTATTTTCAGCTACAGAAACCATTCAAATATTAAACTATTCAGCCTGTTCAGGAATCGATGGGAAACCTTCACATTTTTTAAAATATTTTATACTTCTTGAAATATTCAGCTTTTTAAACTCTTTTTTTAACATGGAAGTCAATGGGAGATGCCTTCAAATCCTCTTTTCCTACACTTTGCGCCAAATGCTACTCCTTCCACATACTGTCAGCTAGACACTTCATTCCAACTTTCAAATGATCACAAGACCTTCAGCTATTCAAACTTGACTTTTATTTTTGATATCTTTTACACTTTTTGAGATAATTAACTTTGTTTGGAGCTTGGTAAAGAGGCTTTCTTCAGATTTTAACATTAGTGTGGATGGAGCAGCTCGTTAAGTCTAGAGTGCTTTGATCTCAAAACAGAGTGGAGGGGTGCTTCAAATTCTCCTCAAAAAATGTTTTAAACTTGCCATAATTCCCAAACCCTACACTCCTCAGACATAATTTTTCATGAAAAACGTAGGAAAACCTCTCCTAGGTTGGAAAATAAAAAAGAATTAAGAAAAAATATTAAACAAAAATGCCTCTTGAGGGCATGAAGACACAAAAAGTCCACCTAGCTCCCAATTGATTCCCATGTTAAATCTTTCCGGAACTTTCTTCAGAACAGAGAGAAGTACACTTTAGACAAACTGCTCCCATCTCCACATTTTACACACAAAACCAAAAAAAACAACATATATCAGTTCATTGGGGTTCCCTGATGCTCACGGTCTGGTCATCTTTTGATAGGAGCCATAGTTTTTTAACAGGTGGCAAAATTGTCAGATATAATCCTCAATGCATTCTTAATGTGACTCAGTGCTGCAGTTGGAAAATCGTCATAAGTCGTCACCGTGGTAACCTTTGATCTCTGGACTTACACACACAGGTGTTTGTAAACATTCATTCACTACTACTTACATTTAATATCTAACTCCTTCAGCCTACTTTCAGCTATAAACCATTCAACTATTACATTATTCAGCTATTTCAGGACATTGGGGCTATACATGTAGTTGTTTACACCTTTTTTAAACCTTTTCTTTTAAATATTAAGCTTCTTCATTATTTACTGCGAATGCTGTATGCTGTGCATTGAAATATCAAAGATATTCTGCTTTTTCCTCACATGATGGGAAACTTTACATTTTTCAAAAGTTGTTATACTTGAAAAAAATATCTAGGTTTTTAAACTGTCTTTTTAGATGTTTAACTTGTTTCTCTCTCTCTCTCTCAGACTCAGACACAGACTCTCTCTCTCTCTCTCTCTCAGACTCAGACACAGACTCTCTCTCTCTCTCTCAGACACAGACTATCTCTCTCTCAGACTCAGACACAGACTCTCTCTCTCTCTCAGACTCAGACACAGACTCTCTCTCTCTCTCTCTCAGACTCAGACACAGACTCTCTCTCTCTCTCTCTCTCTCTCTCTCTCTCAGACACAGACTCTCTCTCTCAGACTCAGACTCTCTCTCTCTCTCTCTCTCTCTCAGACTCTCTCTCTCTCTCTCTTTCTCTCTCAGACTCAGACACAGACTCTCTCTCTCTCAGACTCAGACACAGACACAGACTCTCTCTCTCTCTCAGACTCAGACACAGACTCTCTCTCTCTCTCTCAGACTCAGACACAGACTCTCTCTCTCTCTCTCTCTCTCTCTCTCTCTCTCTCTCTCTCTCTCTCTCTCTCTCTCTCAGACTCAGACACAGACTCTCTCTCTCTCTCAGACACAGACTCTCTCTCTCTCTCTCTCAGACTCAGACACAGACTCTCTCTCTCTCTCAGACACAGACTCTCTCTCTCTCTCTCTCAGACTCAGACTCTCTCTCTCTCTCTCTCTCTCAGACACAGACTCTCTCTCAGACACAGACTCTCTCTCAGACACAGACTCTCTCTCAGACACAGACTCTCTCTCTCTCTCTCACAGACACATCAAGAGAAGAGAGAGGGCGATCAAGACAAGTGAGAGAGGGTGATAGAAGAGTGATAGGGTGATCAAGAGAAGAGAGAGGGCGATCAAGAGGAGAGAGAGAGGGCGATCAAGAGAAGAGAGAGAGAGGGCGATCAAGAGAAGAGAGAGAGGGTGATCAAGAGGAGAGAGAGTGGGCGATCAAGAGGAGAGAGAGTGGGCGATCAAGAGGACAGAGAGAGGGCGATCAAGAGGAGAGAGAGAGGGCGATCAAGAGGAGAGAGAGAGAGGGCGATCAAGAGGAGAGAGAGGGCGATCAAGAGAAGAGAAAGATCAAGAGAAGAGAGAGAGGGCGATCAAGAGGAGAGGAGAGAGAGGGCGATCAAGAGGAGAGAGAGAGGGCGATCAAGAGAAAAGAGAGGGCGATCAAGAGAAGAGAGAGAGGGCGATCAAGAGGAGAGAGAGAGGGCGATCAAGAGAAGAGAGAGGGCGATCAAGAGAAGAGAGAGAGGGCGATCAAGAGAAG